TAAAGGCTTAATAAGTTACGTAATTTATATAAAGCTTATAATAGTTTTACGTAAAATCTCTCTTTTTTAAATTCTAAGAAAAGCTTATAGGTTACTAGTATTATATACTTACCGTGTTTTACGTAAAGAAAAGCGTTCTTTATATTAAATTACCTTAACTTTAAGTTAAATCTAAGTATTAGCGTAATTATAATATAAAAGGTATATACTATAAGCGTTATTACGTAAATTTATTTAATAGTAGTACGCTCTTATATATCTTCTTATATAATTATACGAGCCTTATATTTAATAAGGTAACCTTTCTTATTAAATTTATAAGAGTATACTTACTTTAAAGGTAATAGCTTAAATCTTACTTTTAAACGCTTAATTTCCCTTTAAGTACCTCTTTTTTATAGTGCTTTAATCTTTACTCTTATAGCTTTAAATTATTATTCTCTTAAAGGGTAATTTAACATTTCCTTTCACGTTATTAATACCTTTAATAAGTTTAATATATAGATTTCCTTTATTTTAAGTTATTTATTAATTTAAGCTTTATTTCTCTTATTATAATTCGCGTTAATTACTATAAATACTATAATAAAGCCCTTTATAATCTAGTCTCTTATTATCTAGTAATTAAGTAAATATATTTAAGTAAAGGCTTTTTATATTACTTTAATTAAAAGAGTATTAGGTTTTCTTTTCTTACTTAATCTCTTTAATATATATTAGTTTAGTTTTCTCTTTTATAAAATATTTTAGTTCACGCGTTTATTACTTTTAAAGCGTGTGCTTTTACGTAGTAGAGGTAATCTTTTCTTACTCCTTAATTCTTTATTAATTACTAGTGCTAATTTAGCTTTTAATTATACTAGTTAAGGTATAATTTCCTTTAATATTAAGGCTTAACCCTTTATAAGTAAGCGGTTAGCTAAGCTATTATTTACTTAAAAAGCTTACTTAATTAAAGCTCTTTACTTATTTAGTTTTAGCTATTATTTATTCTTAAAATAAACCGTTTTTATTATTTAAGGAGATTATACGCTTAAAAGCACTAATAATATCATGTTATTAAGCTTAATAATATTTAATAATTCATTACCTATAAGTTTCTTTAAAGTTAATTATAACGTATAAAGGCTTAAATTTAATTATAGCTTTA